GTGGATGGGTGGATGGATGGATGGGTGTATGGGTGGATGGTGGATGGGTGGATGGGTGGATGGGTGAATGGATGGATGGGTGGATGGGTGGATGGTGGATGGGTGGATGGTGGATGGGTGGATGGGTGGATGGGTGGATGGTGGAGGAATGAACCAGGCAGGAAGGGAGTCCCACTTAGGAGCACCTGTGGGACTCGGAGCCTCCAGCACATTCTGAGAGTAGGAATCACATTTTACTGGGGCTGAGCTGGGTCTTAGACGAAGCACAGTCTAACCCACACCTCTCCCTCGGACACTTCCTGGGCTCAGCTGAGAATCTTCCAGCCAGGATCATCTCCTCCCAGCTCCAGAGTTCCTACTGTCCCAAAGCCTTTGTGCAAATTTTGGTCCCCAAAGAGCCCCCAGTCCTGATGGCATCCTGAGCCCTCCCTCAGAAGCACATCTGGAAACAGGGTCAGGGGAGACACTGAGTCCAGGAGTCACCCACACCAAATGACACACTTGTGCACGGACATCTACACAATCCCACACCACAGTCTTGTTCAACAGGTATTTACTAAGTGCCTTCTGTGTGCCAGGCCCTGTGCTGGGCACTGGGGACACAACCAGGACCAAAGCCAAGTTCTGTTCACTTACTGGAAGCCACTATGTAGTTGTTGAGAAACCAGTAAATGACAAAGATAATTTCAGTTGGTGGTACGTGCAAAGATGGAGGGCCATGGGAGAGAGAGCGTCAGGAAGGCTGGTGGTCAGGGTGGGCTTCCGTGAGAAGGAAACATCTGAGCAGGGGCTGAAGGAAAGAAGGAGCCAGCTAGAAGATGTGGGGAAAGGTGTACCCATCAGAGCCAACAATGAGTGCAAAGGCCCTGGGGCAGGAACGGGCTTGAGGTATTCAAGGACAGAAAGAGGTCATCTGTGGACACCCATTCCTCCCCTCCCTGAGGAGGGGCCTCACACAGATCCCCTGACCCCCTGCACACACCTACACATGCTCACACAGGAGTACCTTGGGTCCACGTCTTCGTACACGTTGGTATCCGTTCTCAATGTGTACTCTTCATCCTCAGCTCTGCAGAGAGAGATAGAGGGGTGAGGGTGGGTAAAAGGCAGGAGGGAGGTGGGGACAGCCTCAGCCTCAGTCTCCTCAGGATCGGGAACTCCTAGAAGCAAGGAGGGGGTGGGCTGCATGGCTGCCCTGGGCTACAGGTTCATGGGGAGCAGGGAAATGGGGACAAGGGGGAAGGGACCAAAGAGGGTCAGGAAGCGGAAGGGGGTGCCCAGCACCTGGGGAGCGGGGAGGGGAAGGGAGGGGCACAGGGGGAAAGGGGCCCCCACCTGACTTTCGAGCACCAGATGCGGTTGGCCAGCATGAGGACAAAGACGATGAACAGGAACCCCACAACCGCAGCCAGGCCCACCAACCATGGTTTCAGGCGATGCTTGGAGGCTGTTGGAAGGTGGGGGGAGAAGGGCCTCAGAAATAGGGAGGGGTAGGGGGGCCCCTGAAGGGAGAGGGAGGAGTGTGCGGAGGATGCTCAGACAGAGGGGTCTTGGAGAGGGGCTGGCTTTCTGAGGTGGGTTTTAGAGAAGGGGAGGGGCTTAGAGAGGATGGGACCTTGGGGAGGGGGGTGCCCAGGAGGAGTGTGGGGGAGGGGAGGGGGCTCCGAGAGAGGCCTGACCCCATCCCTCTTCTGCCAGCCCCCTCCTCTCGGAGGCCTCAGCTTCTCATCACAGAAGACAGGGAGGTGGCTGAGTCCGCACGTCCTCCTGCCCACCCCGCAGGTCAGAGCCCTACCTTGCTGGGCCTCAGCCGGCGACAGGAGCAGGGCGCTGAGTAGGAGGAAGGTCTCCATGGTCCCCATGGCTGGAGCAGCCCACGGCCTGAGTGCTGGAGCAGCGGCTAGTCGGTCCAGGAGGCCCTGCCCGGCCACTGACGGGGGTGGTGGGGGCAGGCGGGCCTGGGGCAGGGCAGGGCAGGGCAGGCCCGCCCAGAGAAGGTCCTCCCTCGCCCCACCTGGTCGGCCTTCCAGGAGGGCAGACTCTGGAGCTGGTGTAACAATTAACTCAGGAGTCCAGCCCCCCCGCACCCTGCGCCCAGCCCCAGGACTGCCAGCCTTGGCCTCCAGGCCCCCAGCCCCTGGGCCCTGGCTGAGATGACCTGACCATCCTTCCTGGCCACGGCTCAGTGCTTTTATGTGTCCTTATGTTCCCTTCTCTGCACATCCCAGGAAATTTTGCTGCCTGCATTTTACAGAGAAGCCAGGGAGGCCAGGGGCACCAAGGCTGGGCAGAAGTAGTTGGAGCTGGCATGCGAACTCGAGTCTCCCTCACCAGCAGCTTATGCTGCCCCGTCCTGGCTCCCTGACCCCTGGGAACAGCTCGGGACTGAGCACGGGGCCAAGAAAGGATGGCCACGTGCCCACCGTCCACCTTCAAACCCAGCCGCTCCCTTGCAGCCGGAGATGGGGCCCCTCGGGCACCGATGACTCAGGCTCCAGCCTCGCCTGGCTGCCAA